AAAAAAAAAAAAAAAAAATGCAGAATTTCAAATTTGTGAGTCTGAATGAAGCTCAGGAATGACAGAGTATAAACAGTAGCCAGAGATGAAGATGATGTCAAATCATCCTAGAGATAATGAAAAGCCCCTATAGAGGTTTTTGCAAGCAGAACAGACACTTAGTCATCTATGCCTTTCAGATAAATTCCTTCATTTATTCTAGCTTGTACTGAGTGACTACAATAAAACACATGCTTCTGTACAGAAAAGAAAGATACCTCTGGCCTCTTGGAGATTACTTATCACTAAATAGCTCATTTTCAAAATTAAATTGATGGTAGACTTGAGAGGGATGTCAGCAATCAGAAAACTAGTAGGATGCTGCTGAAGCAGTCCAGGCAAGACACAATGAGAAGAGGGAAAAGATTTGAAAAAAATTTAGGAAGTAAAATTAGCAGCACTGACTGGGTGGAGAAACGGCAGAGGAGCCATAAGGTGGGAAAGGAAGCAGGCAAAGATGAGCTTAAATTTTAACAGGATGAGCTTGAAAGCACCTGAAAGAATCCAAAAGTGGGCATTAACAGACAACTGAAAAAACAAACCTGAAACTCAGAAAACAATCTGAAATTAGGTATGGAGATATAAGCATAGAAGGTAGTAATTTAAAGGTAAAAATGGACCCAAGTGTGTAGGACGGGAACAAGCACAGGGCAAGCGTGGAACGCTGGGGAACACCAACTCACCAGGGAGAGATGTGGGCAGAAAGCCCCAAGGATGCAGGGAAGGGCAGTAGGAAAAGTGCAAAAAGAATCAGAGAACAATAAAACAAGCGTGAAGCAAGAGTGTGAGCGGAAGATCAGTGGTTTCAGGGCAGAAATCCATTAAAACACAAGCTGAAAAGTATCCGGGAGATTAGGATATTGTGAAATAACTAGGGCCTTTCTTATAAACATATTCAGGCAGCAAACTGTGCCAAAAGATTTTCTGCAATATACTGAAAGAGGAATAGAGGGAAAGACAGAATCAGAATCAACTAATAGAATCAAATGGCTTCCGAAGTCTGGGTGAAAAAGAAAAAAAAAAAAGGATAAAGAACAGACAGAAGCAAAATACAAGTCCAAGGTGAAGGGAAGGTGTTTTTTCCTTGTTTTATTCCATTTGATTAAGGATGAGACAGGCCTAAACACATTTACATGTTAAGGGGATGAACCAAGAGACAAGAAAAGACAAACCATGTCATTGTATCAGAAAGTCACTCCCAGTAAGTGGTGAGAGCTTTTGTACATTTTTTCATGCAATAAATATTTATTGCATGGCTACTGTATATGTGGTACTGAAGCCAGCACTCGTTCTGACTTTTTGCATTTGAATTAAGTAAGCTTATGAACACATGCATGAGCGACTTTAGACTCTTCCAAGACAAGAGACGCATACGAAATTGAAAGGAAGGCTGGGTGCACACTACAATTCAGAAAACATCGCTGTGACCTTCCAAATGACAGCTTTAAAACACAGCAAGGCTGCATTTCAGCTGCTGGCTGTGGTGGCAAACTTTGTGAATCTCTTCTTTCAAGTGAGGTTCGTTGCTGGGTTCAAAGCTGTAACACGCCAAGGTTTCAAGACTACAAACTGAAATTCTGATTTATTTCTGAGAAGAATTTGAGTAACAGAACAGCAAATCCCCTGCTACTAAACAGAAAAACAACTGTGAATTAAGTTATTAACTTGTTTTTGCCTAAGGAGCTGAGAGAAATATGTGGATTTCAGGTATCTAATTTCAAGTCTAATTGAAATCTTTTTGCAGGCTCTCAGGGAACAGAATTTGTACACTATTAGAAAACTTTGAGTTTCCTGAAAATGGTTCATGTGACTTATTCTAACAAAGACACTGTTAAAGGAAGAATCATTTTCATTCATAGTACCACATAGGCAAATTAAAGAAAACAGAACTAATGCTCAGATCAATAATGGCAGCATTTAGCTGCAGGCTAGCATACCAAGTAGCATGGTAAATAAACTGTCTTTATAGGAGGAAATTTTTAGAGCCCCATTATGAATTGGAAAAACAGAAGACCTATTAAAATATGTCTCAAAATTCAAATAAGACCTCTTCTATATTTTGGGGGCAGGAGTAGGGGATAATTTTTCAACTTCCTGATGTGAACTCTTTTCTGAAGCACACTAATGTGTACTCTGTAAAACTGTGTAAAATTTCAAAAAAAAAAAAAAAAAAGAGTAAACAAGGCAAGGCATTATTTACAAATAGTAAATAAAGGGTTCTTAGAAAATGTTTAACAGCAATGGGAAAACGTATATACATAAAATCAGTAATAAACTTAGGGGACAACTCAAAGAGGTCGAATCCATATTAGAAAGCTGATGGGTTCTTAATAGGCAATTAAGAGGAAGTCAGGGCAACCAGGACACATTTTTATCTTTTAAGACTAAAGTCACAGAAAGCAACCACTATCCAAAACGGCCTCTGTTGAGCCCTTACAAGACATCGGCAGGAAACTGATGACTATATTCTTTTACTGACATTACGAGCTTTTTTTTTATTTTATTTTAAAGAGAAAAAAAACTAACAAGAACAATGAGAGCAAAACAAAAACAACATAAAATTAATGCTAGTAAACCAAGGCAGAGTCGGTGCAGTATTATGATTCTACAGAGGTCTGGAAAGTTTAACAGCTAATGGTTAGAAATAAAAACTGCAACCCAAATATTAATCTGGATATTCAAAAGATAGAAAAAGATATTCACTGGTGGCTCCTGCATTTGCCAACACAAAAAACAGTTTATGTTATTTTGATTCCAACGTTAAAAATACTCTTATTCTCTGTGAAATTAAGAAGTCTATAGTTCTTTTTAAAATATAATTATATACATAGTTTTGACTTTTTTATTTCACTGGTGGTTGGATAGATCCCCAAAATCATTCAGCTTTTTTATCTTTTATGCATTACCTGAAACCACTTCATAACAATGTCTACAATCATCCTACAATGCATATACATATATATAATTGTACTGGTGTCATGTACACTTGTATGGTCACAACTGTTGTTAAGAAAATAACTCTTAAAATGGAAATACTTTCTACTAGGAACAATCTTGCAATTTTAGCTTCTTACAAGTCAGAAAAAACCATTTACAATTCAAAAGTACACTGAAAAAGTACTGTCTTGACCAATTTGTCTACTCCCAATTTGTGAGTCTAATAAAAGCCCTCCAGCATCCTGGATATACTTTTTGAGATGCCAGTGAACAAAAGAACCCTAAAGAAACTGGCAATTTAATTTTGAAATGTGCAGATTATTTCTGGTATTCCATAACAGAATATCTTCAAGACTAGCACCTGAATGATTAATCAAGAAAGACTCCAGGGATTTTATTAGACAGTAATATTAGTGTCCTTTATAACTTCTAGTGTGTGACTGCATTTAGTTTTTAGAGTGAATAGGGTGGAAAGCTCACTTCCCAGCAGCACCAGCAGCCAGTATGTTTGCTAAGTATACATAGAAGAGTTGCAAAATGATAGCAAAAGATGACTTTCAAGTTGTACACTTGGGAAAGTAAAGTTGTATTGGAGATTCCATTCTCCCTTGCTTTTGAACTCCATGGTTAGATGACATTTCCCATCCTACTTGGTGGCTAAGAAAAAAACACATGACTAGATGGTTGCCCGTGGAATGTGAACAGCAATCCAGTATCCTAAAGCTTGTGGTGACATGTGTTCCCCGTGTTCCCATGCCACGCCCATCAAGGTCTGAGGGTGACCTGACTTGGAACACACACAAATGAAGACAATGTTGCAAGGGCCCATGGACATTCAGAGAGAGGGCACCACTGGTCCCTAATGACTCCAGAGCACCTCTATGCCCATTTTAAGCGCTTTCTAAAGACTATTAAATGACACTTTTCCTCCCTTTCAACACTTGAACTTTTACTGGGGTTCTCTGCTATAGAAGTCTGACCTGACCTTAACCAATATAAAAGGTATGTAGGACCTAAGAAAGGATAAGACAGGTGACTGGTTCAGACTAAAATAAAAAAACCTGCCTGTTCTTTCTATTGTATAGTCTCAAAGTAGCTATAGCACAGCATACATCGTAAAACATTTTCCACATAGAAACATAATTGCTCCATATGTTTAAAAGAAATATGCTCTTCTGGGATAGATGGAAGTGAGAGGGATCAATTAAGCCCTTTGAATTCTTAATTCCCCCAAACCCGAGAAAAACACACAAGCAAACAGGTACAGTTGCACTTCTTTGCAGGGCCAAACTAAGCAGTCTGGGCAGTGCGCTGAGACTGAATTCCCTGTGAGTACCTCTTCCCTTTGCTCTTTTCCTTTTATGGTGGGCCTCAGCTTCACTTCAGTGGTACGAGGCTGGTACACAGAAGGGATGTAAGAAGGAACACTGCTGCTTAGGTCCTCTTCCACTTCTCCTGGAAGCAGCAGCAAATCTGTTGGATGCAAAATATTTCAATTGATCCTTCTGCCAAGTTTACAATTTGTCTGTCATCTAAAAAGCCCACCTCAGTCAAAAGAATGAGGTGAATTATGTTCTTTGAAATGCCTGTCCTCATTTGGGAAACTGACGCAGGGGATTCCCCTTTGTATAAAATACAGCCATTAATGCCTTTATTTTATCTTACTGTCACAAAGTTACAGTCCATCTGGAAAGTGTGGGAGAAATGATGTTTGGGGAGTAACTTGATTGCATCTTACACTCCTAACACAGCTTCTACTTCTAAAGGAAAACAAGGCAAGAAGATAGTACTTTTGCTTCATTTACCCCAATTTTCCTGCGGGGGAAGAGAAAGAAAATGGAGTGCTGATTTCATCCTGTAATGATATAGCAATATTTCAAAAACATACATATTACAAAGCAAGGATGCCAGAAGGAAAGTACTTTCACTCTCAGCAGAAAAATGAAATACTCTGTCATATTCAGAATGCATGGTCTCATTTTTCAGCACTTGCAAACAACAACATGTTTCCTGCTTGTTTGTCACAATCACAAGATTTAATAACCCATCTTGGTTTTCTGATCCTTTCATTAGAAGTGGAGCTGCTCCCTCATTGTCACATGAAGTGACAGTTTATGAGTGCATCCACAGACAGCCGGGGATCCTTCACACTCCTCTTCAAGGAGGGCGAGCAAACAGATAGAAGCACCACAGGTTTCCCCTCAGTCTGTTTCCACAGGACCAGAAGGGCTGGCCAGAGTTGGCCAGTAACTTGCAGCTGGCGCAGGACGCTGCTGCCTGCTACTCAAGGATGATCCTAATTAAGCCACTAATTAAGTTCTCAGTGGAAGTGATTAATTAGCAGCAGGCATGCCTTGGCAGTTGCCAATGGCAGCATATATAGGAAGATAACTGAGCAGGTACTGATAGTCCAAGCCTGAAACTTATTTGAAATGCATCTCTCGCCACTGTCACTGTCACCCTCAGAAAAAAAAAAAACAAAAAAAAAAAACAAAAAACAAACAAACAAAAAAAAAAAAACGTAATTACAGAATTGTTAATACTGGCTTTATGGACAACCCAGAAATGGAAAGGTGTGTTGGGGAGATGGTGAAGAAGGTAGTTCTATTATGATCACTTACTGAAATCTTAGAATCTGATCTTATTAATGAGAAGAAATAAAAACAGTAATATTAGCCAACATTCACATGCCCAACATCTTCTATATATGCATTCACACAGTGAATCCTCCCAACAGCTCTATTATTTCCTGTGTCTCGGGCACTGAGCTCTAACTCTCAGGCACTAACAGTAACCTCACTCGATCTCAAAGCTAGAAAGGACAGAGCCAGGCAGTCTCCGTCTCAGCACATCATGAACTTCTTTTGCATAAACACTTCTGTTACATGTTTTACATTACTGTGAATAGATTATACATCCAAACTCTAGGTGAAGAGATGTCACTACTGCAGCAAATTAGTGTAGTTAGGTAGCACCAAGTGCAACCTCCTATTTTTCATCCAGAGACGTACAGTGTTTGAACCCAAGAAGGTGGGCAGAGAGAATGGCTTTCTAATGTACCTACTTATGCATTCAAAGTCCAACTCCTGCACTGAGCTCCCTCATGTAATAGCCTAGGGCTGCTCCGAGCCTGGCTAGGGCTTGCTAAAACAAGGCAAGAAGGAAGAGGCTGGGCCTCTCGATGTGAAAACCAAAATCTTCCAGACCCACTGGCTGCCAGTGTAAACTTTGGTTCAAACGTGAAATCCAAATCAATTCTGCTTTCACAGCTATTTAAGATCACCATTCTGAGTGTGTTCAGCAAGAAGGAAAAGTCTGCATTTCCATTACTGAAACTCTTCCCTTCCCTAATCTGCTTGCAAACACTGGTAAGATTTTTAACAAAAGATAGAGTTTTGTTTCTCATAATAATTCTACAACCATAGGGACAATTCTTTGAAAACAAGACTCCGTATCTTCCATATCTTATATTCTTGTCATTTATTTCTTCAGTATAAAAGCAAAATGCACCAATGTATGTTTACTGGTGCCTAACACAGCACCTTATGCATAGTGAATTCTCTACCAATACATGGAGACAGGAAATGAATTTTCTTCATCTCAGTCCTCACCTGCGCAGCAAGTTATCAAGAGTCTACCTGCCAGTTGGACATTGTGGACAATGTAAAGTATATACAGTCCTTACCCTAACAAGCTCATAGCTACTACACAGACAAGTCTTTACTTATAAATTCAATCAGAGAATATCAAGAAGCAAACTGAATAAGCATAAAGAAGACAGATTTATAAAAGGCAAAACAAAATATAAATGGGAAGAGCCTGGGAGGGCATACGTCATGAAGAAAACTATTGCCATCTTCTAGCTATTTTACAGTCATGGGTATGTTATTTATGCACATACCCACATGCTGTCAGAAATTATTGTATTCACTGATAGTGGGAAAAGGAATCCCCGAAATGTCCTGCAGAAGTTTCTAAAATGAAACTCTTGCAAGAGACTTAATCTGATCTTAATTATTGTGTCTAAAATAACTAGAAGCTTAATTTGCACCTTAACCAAATGTCACCATGGTGGGTGGCATGCATTGTAGAGTCAGGGCAACCCCCAAAAATGAATTCCGAGGCTGAATTACAAGACTGATTGAAACATCTGAATCTCTCCTTTCTCAATATTATATACTATCTATGCCATTTGTCTTTCTGTATTTAGGCACTGATCAGCAAGTCTAAGGCTATACCCATTTCATCTAATACATTAAAAAATGAGCAATCTACTTGGACCTCCGATAATTTGGACTACAATAATATTTAGCTTGTCAGACATATTTGTAAAATTAACCAATCTGTTTGTGTCTTCCCTTGTAAAGTAGTCACGATTTTATGAAAATTTGGAGTTCTACAACCAAAAAGACTATGGGATAAGAAATGTTTTAGCCATTGAAGGCTCTTATACACATAATTGCCAGCAATGATAGTCTTGATCAGTAATTCTTTTTCTGAAAATTACTGAGACCCCCAAAAGCTCTTATTTGTATGGATTATTACTATCAACATTTACCATAAGACTGACAAATATTCCAATATTACTTATTGAGTCATTTAAAAAATCCCACTACATATCAAAATAAGTGCGATTATGAAATCAGTATTTTCCAAAAAACAAAGAAAACAGTAAGAAAAGAGCACTGTTTCACATTGTTTCAAATTGGTTTTACTGTCTGCTTTAATAGAAGAAAGCCAGATTCTATATTTGTTTCTGCGTTCAATATTTGAAATATGCAGTTTTAGCTGAAGTAAATAAAGAAAATCTAGTCTCATGCAGATAAATAGTTGGAAAGGGGAAAATTAAAATCTTTTTATGGGATTATGGATATTTTTAATACTATACCAGAGCCTAACAAATGATAGAGATTTTCAGTGGTCGGTATTAATGAATAATCTGGTTTTAATGAAAACATATCATTGCATTTTTCAATTACATTAAAATCTACTGGTCTATCTCGCAACTTGAGTGAATATTCCCTCTCTGCATAATTTTGTAACATCATGAATTGTTTATTTGGAAAATATTGATTCACTGTTATGCAAATCTTTCAAATGTTGACATATTTCATTATGCAGACTAAAAAAAAATCACATCAGTTAATATCACCAATTTTACCAAAAAAGCCTTCAAATATTGAGAAGCCATCAAGCTCACAGTACTGAATACCAGTTTTCTAAAAATCAAATTTTCACTTGATCTATTGCCAATTTTATCATTGGCAATGAATACTATCAGTTATTTGCCTTGAACAGACACGCTAGCATCATTCATCTTTGAGAACTAGTTTGTCATTCTTTCAAGTAAAAACAGTCATCTATGAAAGAGAAAAAATAGTTTAGCACATCACTCAGTCACCCAAGGGTTCTTCTGCAAGACAAGCATTGTATTTCCATACACAGTCGAAAGGCTTTGCGGGTACTTGCTATTTTTCCAAACAAATCATTAAAAAGGTATGTTAAAGGACAAGCTTTAGTAAAATTAATAATTTTTGCTCCTTCATCAAGGACATTTTCAATATAAACTGGCATCTGCTATGACCATAAATTTATGACAGTGAAAATAATGACTGCTAGTGTAGTTTGGTTCCACTGTGATTCACACTATGGTACCAGTGTCTTCCCCTTCACGGCGTCTGCAACAGCAGTGTAGTATCAATGCACCTGACATGCAGATCTCAGGGTTTCCGAAGGGTTCCCAGACTACATCCTCAGGGGTCCACTAGTCTAGTTAAATTAGTCTAACCCTCCCACCAAGAACAATTACAAAAGCTGAATAAATTACAGAAAAAAAATATCCAACTATTTCAAAGCATTGGAGAGCTGCCAAGGCAGCCCAAGAAGAGCCCATGAGCAAAGGAAAAAAAGCATTTTGCAAAATAAGTGGAAGCGTAGGAGGAGGAAGCGTACTGCCCATACATGGGGAAGGCAAGGGAAACCAGGGGGAAAATTACCTCACGGTCATACACTTGATAACACACCCCTCTCCCTTGGAGAGATGCAGACATAGAGACTGCGAAAGGGCAGAATTATGCTCCCAATTCTATTCTTTTCTCAAGAATGGGATGAAAGTTTCTTCATGCAACCAAAAGGACTGGGTAACAGGTTTTCCCCTGTGGTTAGTATGGCTCTCCAGTTAGACCTTCAAACATAGATAAACTTGAAATATAAAATTTGAAGAGGTAGGAGCATGCCCAAGAGTGGTAGAGCTGGGTCAAATAGTATTTCTATGTTTAGTCTTTGGAGGAATCTCTATACTGATTTCCATAGTGGTTGTACTAGTTTACCCACCAACAATGTAAGAGGGTGCCTTTTACATCTGCATCCTTACCAATATTTTTATTGTATTCTTGGTGGTTATTCTGAATGGGGGAAGATGAAATTGCAATGCAGTGCATACTATAGTAATATATCATATCCATGTTTATAGT